CTCATCGAGTTTATTTCTTCTCATTTATTTCTTATCGGGTAGGTTCGTAGAGGTCACCGTGGGTCACAAATCGTCTCCCTTTAATTATTCTCCTCCCGACAGCTACCGTCATACACGAGGACGCGAACGGGAATCATCGCGGTCGTAATTTCATTTTTCGCATCGACTCGGACTGATGGGGTCGACGACGCCGATGACGGCGACGTCATTGACGCAGGTCGCCGTCGGCAACGGCAGTCCTACAGTGACAGTCTCCGAGTCTCCTGCCATCGCCAGTTGACGTCGCCAGTCCGCGACCGCAACTCCGTTTATTTCCGCACGCCACGACTGCACGACCGTGACTACGCCACAGTCCACAGTATAGGAATCGCGAGCGCGAGCAGTCGTCGCGTGTACGTCAGAGTCGATAGTGCGTGGAGAGTTGGAGGTTGGAGACCGCTGAGGCTAAGGCGCGTGCTGAGTGGTGCTGAGTTGGCAGTCTTGACAGGGCAGTCCCGCTAACTGTTGATTTGCATGTCGTACGGCACGTCCGCGCGAGTCTGGATAATGTTACGAATGAATGTACTTAAACGGTCTACTTAAAACAACGCCGCAGTACTTAATGAGCGATGAGCGGACAGAAGTTCCAGTATGACGAGAGCGGAGGGACATTCTTTTACTTTCTGCTCTCGTTCTTGGCGTTACTGCTGGTACCCGGGACTTACTACCTCTGGCCACGTTGCCCGAAGCAAGGTTAGAAAAAAAGAGACAGACAAATAGAAAGATCAAGGCGAACTCCATTTTCCAGACCAAAGTAATTTACAAGCGCGTACAGATGTAACGACGTACACGTCCACTGTATATGTATATCAATGGATGAATGCTGTTTGCAATCTCAATTTACGTTATGCTCCACCTTGGTCCTTTATTCAATTCTTTTATCGAGACACAACGTTATATTCGTTACAGAATCTACGAGGAATATTCTATAAGAATATTGAAATGAATTATATAGCTGTTTAATTCCGTAATTTGTGTACTTAAAAAATTAAGTAATT